CATTTAAACCATTAAAATGCAACCTGAGAAATAACTCTCATACCACTCAGGAGAAAAAAATTAGCGAAAAAATCCCCGTAATTGACTTTTTTGACCTTGCGTTTTTATGTGGAACTGCATCAATAGAATATTTTCTATTTAACAATTCAAAAGAACTGTGTAGCAAATTTGCGAGGATTTTCTACGAAATTTTTTCGTGCGTACTTATTTTCTTCAACTTATTTACCTTTTATAGGAGAGGCTGAGACAAACTGAAACCTTAGCTACCCACAGCGTGATGAAGAGTCGAAACTAATACAACAAACAGCGCTCTTTCACTTTCCTCTACTGTTCTATTTTGTCCCATTATTCCCTTAAATTATGGATTTAGAATTCACAATTTTTTTTTGTTTTCTCGATGAAATTCCGAATTGTTGAAGTCGCAATTCGTTAAAGTTTCGGTGAGTACTGGCTTTTTTTCTGCGGAACTCTTATGGGCGGAACATGCATAAATAGTGCAGATAATCTGCAATGGTTACTAGCAGATTTCATGCATACTTTATGCATATTTCATGCATAACTATGCAGACTTTACACATAGTGGGAGGTTCGCGGAGCTTATGTGTAAAACCTGCATAAGATTGCAGATAATCTGCACAACGTTTTCTGTGTGTGCATGAAACCCCCCTCCTCACATCGGAAACTCCCGATATTTGGGCACCCCTCCCTATGTATGGGGTACTTACGCCCTTTAAACACCTCAGCCGTAATTTTTTAGTTCATTCTGAAAATTTTCTAAAATTAAGAAAAATTAAGCATTGATTTTAGAAAATNATAATTTTGTTATCAATTCATTGTTTTTTCATCAAAAACGAAAAAAACAAAACAGGAAATTATTTTTCATGTATTTTGAACACGCCGTACGCGGAGGGATACACCACCGTCCCACCGCGCATGCGCGCGTCGGTGGTGGGGGAAGTAGGGGTTAGATGGAAAGATCACTCTCATATTGTCGCCAGTATAGTTCTATAAACCAATCGCCAAATTCATTAGTTTTTATGATCCCACCAAGGATAAAGCTTAAGAGCAGGAGTTCTAAAGGGTAAAGTTTAAGAACAGGAGTCTAAAATCTAGAAACTAGTTTTTAAAGCTAATCCACTTTTTTTCTCTACGTAGCATTAACACAAACATTTTAAGCTATGATTGAATTCATTGGATGCACGATATTTAAAGATGTTCCCGGAATTCTGATTTTCAAAAAATACAAAATTTTTGCACATTTTCAAAAAAATCCAAATAACGATTTGTAACGTGACATTTTCGTATGGGGGTTAAAAATGCCTATTACCTTCGCCCTTCTTCCCCTTGCGGACCATCCTGGGACCCTATTCTCGACGTTGGTGAATTCTTCTTCGTGCACGAATCGGCAATCNCATCTAGATGTGTATAAGAGACAGCCCTTCTTCCCCTTGCGGACCATCCTGGGGCCCTATTCTCGACGTTGGTGAATTCTTCTTCGTGCACGAATCGGCAATCGTCAACGAATCTTCTATACAACTACTATACGCAGTTCGTCAACGAACGTCGATTCGTGAACGAAGGACTATTCACTAACGTCGAGAATATGGCCCCTGGATCCTTACAGCTACAGGGTAACTTCGTAATAATCCAAGTGCGTAGTTGCGTAGTATGGGCACGCAAAAATTTAAACGCGACTAGTGGGTTGGGACGGTCAACGCGGAACTAACTGCCCTGGGTCAGTGTCACGGGCACTGAACGCAGCGCAAATTCCGGCCAACAGAGGCGGGCTCTGATTGGCGGAGATTTTAGCACATCAATCAGGGGGTTTGATGGCGCCACCGAATGATTTCGGGGAATTCAAACGCAACTCAACTCTAATTATTTATACTTTATAAAATTGACTACTGATAGACTAATAATGATTAATCTGGGCCGAACTGGTGAACGTTCGGAAAATTACCATGGATTTTTGGCGCTTCCTACGGGTCGGTTCTCCTGGATTCACGGGGTTAAAAGACCAATACTCCTAACTAATCTTCTCAAATTTCCCAAAATCTTTATGCAACCTGGCAATTCACGGGATACAAGGGTTGCACTTGTTCCGCGTGACCTTCCACCGAAAAACTGAAACGTAACCAGTTAACCACCGTAAAATCCATCATCATTTGGAGCGCCGGCATTTCAGCCGGACCTAGACGATTTACCGTAAGATTAACAATAGGGTGGTT